TATAGTTATTATTTTTATTGTCCTTGTCATCCACTTCTTTGATATGTTGCAAGTGGAAGGAAAGTTCAAACTAAGAATGTTTATATTCAAATGTAAAATGATAAACTTTTCATCTAAATTGTAAATTAACACTTTAATGGTACTTAAGATTGAAAGAAACGAATAATTTGCATTATGCAAGAGGTTTATATCTGAAAGATGAGGACACTAGACATTTCTGCAGACGTTGTTTCCGGCATGAACAAGCTCAAGTAGACTAGTAGAAGATGAAAACAAGGATTTCGTCAGCAGTGGCGAAGGAGGATCTGTGGATGAGGAAGGTGGTGAAATATAAAAAAGAGTTTTATGTCAAGTTCAAATTTATCAATAACATAATGATAACATTATATTAAATATGCGAAGTAAAACAAAAAAAAAAAAACTACATGTATGTACGTTTTGTATTTATTTCTCACCTTCGGGCACCTTTGTGGCTGTCTTAACTTCTCCTGCGACATCTGACGTTGGGCCCTCTGTGGGGGTGATATACCCTTTGCTAACTTCTCTGGCGAAATCTGTCGTTGGACCGGGACCCTCTGTGGAGCTGATATAACCTTTACTAACTTCTCCGGCGATATCTCTCGCTGTACCCTCTGTGGGGGCGGGAGATCCTTGGGATGTGACATCTGTGTTCACCAAAAAAAAAGATGAGAACAGTCATATATCAAGTTCAAATGTATAACAATATTATAACTGGACATCACGCATTTGCATACAAAATTAAAAAAAAAAACTGTGTACGACTTGTATCTATTTCTTCCGTTTTGTCGTTGATCTCTCTGTGGAGGTGGCAGATGTTGTTGTGACATCTTCTGTGTTTGCTAAAAAAGAAGGTGAGAAAAGTCATAGTTACATCGTACGTTAGCATACAGATCCAAAACAAACATGTAATTATATAACATAAATGATTTTCTAAGTTCAGTCTGCGCAGGTAAGTAAAGCCTGTACGATTCAATTATTTCTTACATTTTGAAGGGACACAAAGTGTAGATTATACAAAGGTGGATATCGTGTTTATCGTTACTACCTTCCCAGCCACTTCATCTTGCTTTATAAGCTATTTATTAAAAAAAGAACTTAACCTTGCATGATGTTGTTTTAACTCTCTCTGGTTCGTCTGACAGTACTTCTAACAAAACTCTTGAAGGTATTTTCAAATATCGGACGCCAGTCGCAATTTGGAGACTTGTATGCGATTTGTACCCTATTGTACAAAATGATATACAAGAACAAGATTTGTCGCAGTCAAAACCCCCTTGTCGTTTCCCTGCAGCACCGTGTATACAGTCGACATTCTTCTTGCAAAGTTTAAGACAATACGATTGTCCACATAAAAAAAAATCACGCTCCTCATTTGAAGCATTGTGGCAAAGTGTATCTGATAATTGTGTATGGGTCACAATTTTGTCACTTATTATCTTATGAATCACTTTTTTTTTCACAATTAAAATATATAAGGGTATATCATTCATTCTACTACAAGACCTCGTATTTAACAAAAAACAAAGAAAATACCAACACAATGAATGGAAACATTGTTTGTGATTAATTAAATTTAATGTGTTTATCATTCCTATATTTACATAGCAGAGGGGAATGTTTTACTATCGTATTAAGTTTTCAACAGATAGGTGATCTGAGGTCACGCTTATTCGTATTAATGTTCACGCTGACCTGGTACATACTATATTGCCCTGATTATCAATCTATTGCCCTGGGGCCCGTTTTACAAAAAGACTTACGACTTAAGACTAAATTTAAATCTATATATAACTTTTTAATTAACATTTTATCGAAAATTATTTTTAACTTTTAAAAAGGGAAGTGGTAAGAAATTATTACACATCCAATTTTCAAAAAGAACGATAAATTTTGTAAAGTTTTACAACAATCTGAAGTTTTTGGTCTTAGTCATAAGTTCTTTTGTAAAACGGACCCCTGATTTATCAAGCTACACGAATTTATTTTAAAACTCGTTCAGTCTTACATTCATAACTTCTCACAGTTTACGTTAAATATGTTTATTGAGATCATCGCTACATACATATATATCAAATATATTGAGCGGATATAAACACCCATAATTCATTTTCTAAAATAATAAGTTTGTATAACACTATCTCAGGTATTTGCAAACTCTTTGTAAATCTAATTTGCCTTAATAAAGACCAAGCACCTGCGCACAATATGCTCATTTTGTTATATGCATTAGCATGTATAAAGATAAAAAGTTACAAATTATTTATTTTTCAAATGAAGTATCCTAAGATTTTTTCAACATTATTTTTTTTTATCTTTATAAAAAACAATTTTATATACAAGTGTACAATTCAAAAAAGATGCTGTGTAATACATAATACAAATGTCATATCCATAATTTACCCATTATTAAATTATTTCGTTTGAAATCATTGTATGTATTTAAAAAATATTTCAATGATGTAGACTTTAATTTAAAAAAAAGTCTTAGTTAAGTTCCGTAAAATGTTAGATATCATTGACTGTTTTCCGTTCTCTTCAACATTTTTCATTTAGACGCCAGAGTATTTGAACTACTAGTATATTTACAAAAAAATTGAAATTTCAATCAGGTATGAAATTTAACAGTAAAATACCGTAATTGTGTTATCTATTTTTCTACCCTAATTTATAAAAAATAATTCTGTATACCTAATTTAAAGTAATTCAATAGTTCTTCATTTAGAAACGCAAAGGACCTTTCACCAGAAAAAAAAAATCAAGATATCATTAACATTATGGTAAGTAAATTTAAAATACTTTTTTCACTAGATGTATAAATTATTTCGTTACATTTCAATTTTTACGTTGTATATTTAAGTTAAAATCACTTTTTAATTATAGCAAGAGGAAATGTAGGTTACAAGAGACAGAAGAAGAAAAGAAAAAAAAAAAGAAGTTGAAGAGGAGAAAGATGAAGAAGAAGACGGTGAACAGGGTGATGAACAGGATGAAAAAATGATGAAGATGGAGTTGCTATAAAAGAAACTATAATTGTGATATATATTTATTGGATATTAAAAAAAAGCGTAAGTTAAAAAAAACATAAGTTGGGATTTTTCAACCAAAATCATTGCCAAAGTTAAAAGTGTGAAAATGAAAAATAAATTTCCAAAAGTAACCGTAAAATTTGACAGTCATGCAAAATTGACGGAGTTATCTTTCTTACATTTCTCATAAGTTGGTTTTTTTTAATTTCTTTTTTGGTAAGTTTTATTCAAATAAAAAAATATTATTTTATCAAAGAAATTATATGTTTAATTACAAACTGCTTTATGTTTTTTTTTACTTTTGCCTATTTTACAAGTTATATATCAAAATAATTTACTTACCTCCTTTTCTGTGTCTGTATATCTACGACATCTGTCTACTTTTTTTCTTCAAAAACTTGTATATATGATCTGTTAGTTGGATTTCATAATTTTTATTTATATTTTATTTCTTCATATATAAAATATTTCAAAAAATAAAATTGATGTCTTTTTTCTTTTTTGAAAAATGAAAGATCTCTCATGATACATGTATAGTAAGCGCTTAAAATACCAAATATTAAAGTAAACATGACCGAGTTATTTTCCATGCATCGTTTATTCGTGCCGAAATAGTCTTTGTCATCTTTTTTTTTTTTTTAAATACCTTTTCCTTAACGATAATTTTTGGAAAAAGTCTATTTAATATGTTAAATATTTTTTTTCAATATAAGAAAATAATACTATACTGTAGCAAAATTCCTAAGGCCATTTTTTTTATTAGTTGTTTTACGGATTTTTTTTTTTGGGAAAATGTCCATTGGGTGGCTACAAAAAAAAAAAAAAAGAAGAAGTGTTCAATGTTCAAAACTTTTAATATGCAGCATATCAAAGCAGTTGGGGAAATCAACCTCAGAACATTGCACAGAAATGTCTTTCTTGGCATTCCTCACTAAAAGAGAACGATTCTCCAAGCAGAGAGAGATATTATGTGAACAATGCTAAACTTTTCTGTGTATGTCTATGACTGGATACGGGTGTCCTCTCACTGCTACGTCCACACTTCCACAGAAAAACACACTTCAGCATATTTTACACAACCCCCTGTAAAATAATAAAAGTTTAATCAAATTCAGATAATACGTTTTCGTAAGCAGTATTAAACAGTATAAAACTAAAATTCAGTGCACAATCAATGGACACAAATAAACTTACTAGAATGATAAGTCATCCCCATAGGGTTTCACATTCCTATGACTCTCATACAAACATTTTTTGTCTTAGAACATCCTGATGAGTCAGTTCCATTCCCAAATCTAAAATTTAAAACTTTAAGAAACATTTCTTTCACATAATTTGATAGATTCATACCTATACAATGACAAAAAAGTCTTTTGTTTCTCCGATGCTTTAACAATTGACAACACGTCATGCAGATTTTTAAAATACAGTCAAACATGTGCTTTTAAAAATGTCATAAATAATATATGAACTGTTAACTAACCATTAGATTTAACTGTTTAAAACTTCGCCAAACCCTCAAAGAAAAGTTGTGGGTGTCGAATGGAGTGCAAGTGATGACATCCGATTCGTTGGTTTTGGCTGTAATTTCCTCAACCACCAACACTCCATTCGCTGATCAGATAACATCATATGTAGAATCATCACCAGCCTGATCAGCTCATAAAAACCGTCATACATTTATACTACTGTCCTTAAAACATTTATATTCTGCCTGTTTTGAAAATCACATGGCCGTCAGACTTATTTCATCTCTGACTATAAAACGCTTGCAGGCTTATTTAAAAGGGTCGATAATGGAAGCGTTTACATGATTCTGATCATTACTAAGTAAAATTCAAACAATGTACGGTCATTTCCGGATTTTTTTAATATGTTTGAAGTAATGTTCGATCGGCGATTATAAAAAAAGGATTGAATGGAATTTTTATTTTTTTTCCAAAACTTAGAAAAATGGGGTCGGCGGATCCGTAAAACAACTAATAAAAAAAAATTGGCCCAAAGAATTCTTTTTAGCCTATCATGGAACATAAACCATACGTCTGTAAATGTGGTATCTTTTCGAAAAAAATAAGTGGCCATTAAAACGGCCGTTGGGTTTAGTAATTAATCATGACTCTATTTTTTCTGTTCTTCTTCGTCCTTCTCTTCGTATTCATGGTCAAATACAAAAACAGTTTCACCGTTAACCCACCGCATTCTCCCTGATGGTCGCTGTTCTTCTTTTAATTCTTGATCCCAATCTTCTAATCGAGGGATTTCGTTGTCTCTTATAATTAAACTTTGTCTGATCGCCATTCTTCTTCTGTTTTCAAAAACAATATCATCACCCCCCCCCCCCCTAAAAACACATTTATATAATAAATATTAAAAATGTATACTGACAAATGTTCTATATTTAGAAAATGATAAAGCAAACAGCTTTGCAAAACCATGCGCTGCGCACGTATGGACTATTGAGTACACATACTCAATCATCCTTATCATCATCTTAAGATTACACCACCTTTAGGTAATCAAATCTACCATAAGGCCTTATATTGCATCATACATCTATAATTAAATCATCCGCCATCTTAATTCTATAAATAAATATGATTCATATTGCTTTAACCTACGTCATACATCTAAAATTAGACCAACCGCCATCTTGATTCTATAAATAAATATGATTCATATTACTTCAACTTACGTCATACATCTATAATTAGATCATCCGCCATCTTAAATCCATTTAAAAGGATATATTTGCAGCATTTATTGATACAAAAAGGATGAAATTTAATGATTTTATATAGGAATTTAACCAATTCAATCAATATAACTTGAATGTAAATATAAAACACAAATATACAAGAGAAATGATTTTTTTTCTTATTCAATAACTATAAATATGTTTAATTTGAATGAAAATTGAGAAGAAATAAACAGATTCAAAAATTAAAGTGTGTAACCCCTACATGGGACCCTGCCTAACTCTTACACGGAACAGTACTTAATACCTAAGAGCTGAGAAGAAGATTTTCAAAGAATTCATGTTTTTTCACTATTTAATCAATAGAGCCCCTCCGTAACATCAGAACCCTTGACCCTTGGGCCATAAAATTCATAATTTTTGAAGAGGCACTCTTGCTTATCATAACTTTGTACTTTTTTTAATATCCAGGAACAGAGAAGGAAGTTTTTCAATAAATTCATGTATTTTCACTGTATTATCAATAGAGCTCCACCCTAACACCCTAACCCCTGACCCTAGGGACATAACATTATTATTTTTGGTAGAGACATTATTGTTCATAATAACTACGTATTTAGTTTGTCTGTTGAATACCCAGGACCAATGAAGAAGATATTCAGAGTTCATAATTTTTACTATATAATCAATAGAGCCCCGCATGAGCACTAGATCCCCTGACCCCAGGACCATGAATTTCACAATTTTGGTAGAGAGTTCAATGTTGATTACAATCATGCAAAAATTTGACTGCTTGATGTTTAGGAGTAAAGAAGATTTTTAAAGATAGCATTAGTTTTAGTGGTTTTGGCCCCAACCATCAGGCCCCAGGGGCAGGGATCATGAAAATACATAATTTTTGTTCCCTTTCACCCATAGATGTTTACGCCAAATCTGGTTGAAAATGGTTCAGTGGTTGCAGAGAAGAAGCTGAAAATGTTCAAATGTTAACGTACGACGACAGACAAAAACGGATAGCAATAGGTGACCTAAAAAGAAAGAAGAACACGAACGAAAATCTTACGTTTTTTGTTAGTATAGCTCAAAATTAGACACAGACTTATATATTTAAAAAAATTAATTAAATGTATTTATATGTGAAAATTCTTATACACCTAAGTTAATTTTTTTTTTAATTTCTCCATCATTAGAAATATTTCAAGGAAAAATAAAGAGAGGGAAAAAAATCCTGTATTGAGGGAATTCCTACAACAACCCCTTAAACAAGCACTGGAACCCTAAAAACAAAGAGAACAACAAACAACAAATCACGTCTTCGAAGAACTTCTCGGAATTCTAAACACTACAGAACAATCTCCAATTGGATTAATGAAAAACTATTATTCTGGGTGAGTAAATCTTGGGATATTGGTCAAATAACGAACTAAATAACGGCAAACATAAAAACATAGGTAATCAAAGATTACGAAGCTCACCTCGACGAATGTTATCAGTTTAAGTAATGCAAATCCTACATCATATTTTCTTAATATTAAGTATTCATCCCAACAACAATATTCTTGCAAGTTATGCTTAACCTTCTACATGGTATATACACATTTCTATGCATGTAGTGTGAAAAACATGTATTGTGTAAACAAATATTCATAACTGTTAAAACTGCAGATATCAAAGACTTCAAGTTCATTCGGATTGATCTGTTCCCAAAACTATAACCTGGGCTCTTGTATGGAAAATATAGGTCTGATCCAGCATCCCAAGCAAGTCTCATAGTGTCCATCCTAAGATGCATCATCCATGCAAGTTTGGTTTAGCTAGGGCTTATAGTTACTTGGGATTGAAAATGTACGTCAGATCCAGCATCCGAAGCAAGCCTGGCAGTGTCCATCCTAAGATACATCATCCATGCAAGTTTGGTTCAGGTAGGGCTTATAGTTACTTGGGAATGAAAATGTAGGTCAGATCCAGCATCCGAAGCAAGTCTGGTAGTGTCCATCCCTAGATGCATCATCCATGCAAGTTTGGTTCAGGTAGGGCTTATAGTTACTTGGGAATAAAAATGTAGGTCAGACCCAGCATCCGAAGCAAGTCTGGTAGTGTCCATCCCTAAATACATCATCCATGCAAGTTTGGTCCAAATAGAGCTCATAGTTCCTTGGGAATGAAAATGTAGGTCAGATCCAGCATCAGAAACTAGTCTGGTAGTGTACATCCCTAGATACATCATCCATGCAAGTTTGGTCCAAATAGAGCTCATAGTTCCTTGGGAATGAAAATGTAGGTCAGATCCAGCATCTGAAACTAGTCTGGTAGTGTACATCCCTAGATACATCATCCATGCAAGTTTGCTTCAGGTAGGGCTTATAGTTACTTGGGAATGAAAATGTAGGTCAGATCCAGCATCCGAAGCAAGTCTGGTAGTGTCCATCCCTAGATGCATCATCCATGCAAGTTTGGTCCAAATAGGGCTTATAGTTCCTGTGGAATGGACCTACTCCAAAAACTTTAACCTGGTCACTCATCTAGATAATGTACGTCAGATTCAGCATCCGAAGCAAGTCTGGTATTGTACATCCCTAGATGCATCATCCATGCAAGTTTGGTTCAGGTAGGGCTTATAGTTCCTTGGGAATAGACCTGCTCCAAAAACTTTAACCTGGTCACTCATCTGGAAAATGTAGGTCAGATCCAGCATCAGAAGCAAGTCTGGTAGTGTACATTCCTAGATGCATCATCCATGCAAGTTTGGTCTGGGTAGGACTTATAATTCCTTGGGAATGGACCTGCTCCAAAAACTTTAACCTGGTCACTCATCTAGAAAATGTAGGTCAGATCCAGCATCCGAAGCAAGTCTGGTAGTGTACATCCCTAGATGCAACATCCATGCAAGTTTGGATCAGATAGGGCTTATAGTTACTTGGGAATGGACTTGCTCCTAAAACTTTAACCTGGGACGCCGGGGGTATAGCAAAAGCTCATCTCGACTTCGTCTTTTATATTTCAGTAACGTTATCAATATTTTATCAATGTAATTAATCCTTTAAATCATTGAAAAGAAGCTTCTCTGTCGTATGTAAATTTATACTTCAGTAACACTCCACAAGAATATATTTCCTCAACCCTTGACTTCTCGGATATGGACGATCAAAGTGTACTTAACCAAAAGTATCTGGTACCCGACAAGCCCACACCAGCCCAACATTTGAAGACATCAGAAAAGACATCTCTATCAGTGAAGACCATCCTCAAAACAGAAAATCAGCACCAAGCAATTTAACAAAGATCCAGAGTCCATAATTACCCACTCGGCGTTTATCCGAGAGTATCACCCCATCACACAACTCCGCTTTTACAACCATCTCGCCAAGAAACATCCAACAAGAAATGAAGCATTCGAAACGTAGAGGATTCTATCTTAACTAAATTAAGGTGTGCAAACAATATTCTTAAAAACTTCACATACAACATCTTAAAATTTAAATTCTATATATAATTCAAAAGAACAATACATATCGCTAATTCTCGTTCAGCAAGTGTAAAGTGTATACTGATAACCTAGACTGTAGTAGGATCTAGAAAGCATACATATTTTTTTTCTTTCTGATAGATCGACTTTTCAAACTCATTCTTTTCTTACTTGTGGAAGACGTCAAAGACTGAAAAGAAGAATGGTGCAGAGAATGCCAACAGTAGATCCCTATCCTCTCCACCAAGTACTCAAGCCTCTTAGAGAACAGAAGGAGGCCAACTTCAAACAGATGGACACTCTTATTAACTACCAACAGATGGACACTCTTATCAACTACCAACAGATGGACACTCTTATCAACTACCAACAGATGGACACTCTTATTAACTGCCAACAGATGGACATTCTTATTGATTGTCAACAGATGGACACTCTTATTAACTACCAACAGATCGACACTCTTATCAACTACCAACAGATGGACACTCTTATCAACTCCCAACAGATGAACACTCTTATTAACTACCAACAGATGGACACTCTTATTAACTGCCAACAGATGGACACTCATATAAACTACCAACAGATGGACACTCTTATTAACTTCCCACTGATGGACACTCTTATAAACTACCAACAAATAGTCATAGGTGCAGCTTTTAAATCTAGCTGCACAAATTATTTGTTTCATTTGTTCTTCGTTCTTTGTCTGGTATTTTTTTTTTGGTTAGATCCCGATTTTTTCCGAAGGCATCGTGAGTGAATGCGTGAGTGAATACGTGTTCACAACGAGGAATATCTTAGATTTAAACAGTACACTTGTTACGATACACTAAGCCCGAAGTTAATGTAAAACTCACCAAATTAGTAATAAACTCCTTTCTACAGAATTTATCACACTTAAAACCATACAGAAACAAGGTTTAGGAAATAAACAGCGGAGCCCAAAATTTTCAGTCAGTCACAGACCATCACCTGACAGAAACTCCAAATTTGGGACTTACTATTTCTTTGAAAAAGCTTAAATGAAAACATGTAAGCGATGTTTGCTTGATATAAAAGTAACTGTAGCAATCCCTCTCCCAAAGGCAAATTTACTAAATTATTAATTTAACTTTGAGATTGAATACTGTTCGTTATCTCCATATCCTTCCCAACCACTTACTCTTAATTCTTTGAATTTGCTTTCTATTCTAATATATAATATCCATCACTAGGATGACGATATTATTAAATTATCAAATTACCTATTTTATTAAGTGTATAAATGTACATCTATCTATATTCTTTTTTCTTTGAAGCTTGGAGACTTCTCATCAACGACTGTCACGAGAAGGGGGGGGGGGGTCCACCTTGCTATACATGGCCACTCGGCCTTACTCACACTTTGGGATGTAAAGGCAGAGCATCCATTTATAGCAGTTGGATCTGTTTATGAAATCCATGCTTTAAAGGTGGCGCATGTGTGGAAAAGCACAACTAACTGGGCCAGTTCTGCATGTATCAGGAAATGCCGGAACATCTTATGATATAGAATACAAAACAGTGTCCAATGACACGATACAGGTGGCTCGTTTCAACATTGTGATCCAGTTCTCCGGGTTTCAGAAAGTGTAAGTTATCCCCTACTGATTTGTGTCCATTGATGGTTCCTCTATGGAATATTGAAGTGAAACCATTCGAAATTGTGAACTAGTTCAGCAGGTTTCAGAAAATGTTCAATCACCTTGTGATTTGCAATGCAAGAAAGTGTCCACTGAAGGCTCCGTTATGGAAGTTTCAAGGGAAACTACTCAACTTTGTAAACCAGTTCAGCCGGAGTCAGAAAATGATGGTGAATCTTCTGGTGATTTAGAACCTGAGAAATTGTCCACTGAAGGCTCTTCTTGGCGAGTTTCAAGTGAAACCATTTAACAAATTTGTAGACCAGTTCAGCGGGAGTCCCCATAATATGAAAAATGGACGGCCTAATGAAAAGAAGAGAAAGATGGCGACATAGGAAATTATTAAGGATCTAGAAAATAAAAAAATATTAAACTTGAAAACGAGAAGCTGATGCAGGAAATAAACAAGCTTTACCAAGAACAGAAGAAATAAGCATTAGAGCAGATTTATTCTTTATTGTTTAAAGTCCCTCTCGAGAATTTTTCACTCGAATTGTGACGCCGCCAGATGACGGTGAGAGTTGCAAATTTTGTCCTATACTCGGCACTCAGGAAAAGACAGTGCGAACGGAGCTTGAAATGTTAGAAATTAAGATGTTATACTTAAATTAAGACATCAGCAAAACTGCAACAGAACTGCAACTGCAACAAAATTATAGTCGGTTTAAGAGCTCTACAGAGCTCATGTTTCTTGTTATGTAATGTATACAATGCTGACTTTAAATAAAATTTACTTACTTACAGATGAGAATTGTAAAATTTTCTGCACTACAGTACACGGGCATGTAGAAGAAAGTTCTTGGTCCAGCATTTTACCCCGCAATATATCACCTGTGTTGAGGACGTGCATAAATGCTGCGACATATGCAAGTCTTCATGTTCACACTCAGCGTATCCTGATTTACACCCATCATGTTTCATTATTGAAGATAATGACATGGAACAGGAACTGGCTGAATCTGAAAATCGTGCATTTCGAACAGAAACCCACACTCGAAGATTATCAATCAAACGGAAGATAAAGAACATCCAATCTTAACATCTCTTCTAAACATTGTATTAAATGAAAAAGTTATTGAGGATGTAGATTCAAATGTTCATTACATTTACGCAAAAAAGGATGTGGAGATAACGAACAATGTTCCATCTCAGAATCCATAAAACAATACAAAATAGCTCGGACCAAACACGGACCTAGATCCAATTGAAGACGTCTTAATAGAGCTTGTCTATGATGACGAATTGGCGCAAAATAATATAAATATTGTTCAAGATATTCTTGATGTTGAAAAAAAATTATTAAAAAATCTAATACAATATCAATTTATTTTGTGATACAAATTATACAAGTTCCGATCAATCCTCGTTCTTTATGTCATCGGAATTAACTCAAAATACAGTCTTTTCTAGATGTTTCTGTTGATAAATTCAGTAATTTATCATAACTATGTTAGCAATTTTTTTTTCATTAAATATTTTTCTTCAAAAATTACCACTGATATTCTCCTGGAATATATTGTATTAGAAATCATTTACATTTTTTAAAGGTACATTTTCTATAAATTGTAAAGTAATTAAAAAAAATCGGTTTAAGCCAAAAAGAACTGTTTAACATGAAATTGACACTTAATTAAACCAGAAGTCTCTGTCGAGACTGTAGCTCTACTGGTTTATACAGCAATAAATACAGAAATTATCCTTGCCGCTCATCAAAATAAAAACTAATGCACAGAATTATGTATCTTAATATAGTCTATTTGTGTGCCAAGTCATACTGAAATCGGATGAAACTGTTGGAGGAGTAGCATTTTGAAAGCATTTCACAGAAATTTCTATTTTTAGTAACAATGGCAACACCGTTCATTGAAATAAAAAACCGATGCACAGAATTATGTATCTTAGTGTAGTCTACTTGTGTGCCAAGTTATACTGAAATCGAACCAAAACTGAGGGAGGAGTAGCATTTTGAAAGTATTTCACAGACATTTCTATTTTTAGTAACAATGGCAACACTGTTCATTGAAATCAAAAACTGATGCATAGAATTATGTATCTTAGTGTAGAATACTTGTGTGCCAAGTTATATTGAAATCGGACCAAAACTGAAGGAGGAGTAGTATTTTGAAAGCATTTCACAGAAATTTCTATTTTTAGTAACAACGGCAGCACCGGTCATCAAAATCAAAAACCTATGCACAGAATTATGTATCTTAGTGTAGTCTACTTGTGTGCCAAGTTATATTGAAATCGGACCAAAACTGTAGGAGGAGTAGCATTTTGAAAGCATTTCACAGAAATTTCTATTTTTAGTAACAACAGCAACACCGTTCATCGAAATCAAAAACTGATGCATAGAATTATGTATCTTAGTGTAGTCTACTTGTGTGCCAAGTTATATTGAAATCGGACCAAAACTGTAGGAGGAGTAGCATTTTGAAATCAGAAGTCTCTGTCGAGACTGTAGCTCTACTGGTTTATACTTGAAACAAAGGAAGAGAAAAGTAGCAGTTGGGACTTGAAACTTTAAAACAGCAATAAATAGAAAAATGATCCTTGCCACTCATCAAAATAAAAACCGATGCACAGAATTATGTATCTTAGTATAGTCTACTTGTGTGCCAAATTATATTGTAATCGGACCAAAACTGTAGGAGAAGCATTTTAAAAGAATTTCTCAGAAACTTCTATTTTTAGTTACCATGGCAACACCGTTCATTGAAATCAAAAATCAATGTACAGAATTATGTATCTAAGTGTAAACAACATGTGTGCCAAGTTATATTGAAATCGAATTAAAACTGTAGGCGGAGTAGCATTTCGAAAGAATTTCACAGAATTTTCTATTTTTAGTAGCCAAGGCAACTGTAACGGTATCTTATAGTATTATTCTGTTTCATTGTTACGTAATGTTTGTTTACATATCATTGCTCCGCGCGAGCAATGTCGTTACATAACTGACCCCGTTAAAAAAGATTGCTCCTTATGAGCAATGCACATTATGTATATATATAGGTCGAGTAAAAGCTTAAGCGCAGTCAGTCTTATTAATTCTATTACGGGATATACATGTAGGAAAAAGTGCAGTCCGGCCAGTGTTTTATAATGTGTGAAACTTGGATTTATTTGTGATGTAAATAAACTGTA